CACGTTATGCTTTTGTCAATCAGCAGCGGTTCTCTTTCCCTTCCCATGATCTCAACAATGACAGTTCCCCCCCCCCCCGCTACTTATCCATAACAAAACCGGACAAATAATGGACGCTTGTTACCAAATGGATTCTCTTTTTATATATGTACATACATATAAAGGTGACGAGGTTGCACTGGGCGGCGGCCAGGTAAATCTGAAACGGAGCCAAAGGAAGCAACAGTTTCTTGACTAACAGCATTTCTGTGTTATATCAGGCTTTGCCCGTAGTCCAAATGAGAGTAAGAGAGTAGGAGTCTTCCAAAGGAAAAAAAAAACCCTTCAATTTTTGATATTTTGAGCTCCTTACCCGCACGAAGAGACATTCTGGTGTTCATATTCACTGTAGCATTTTGACAGGTTGGCACTGCGTGTCAGTCCTGCCCTGGCCAATAGGATGTGGAGAAATAGGAGTATCTCCATTGGTCAAGGCAGCCCATGACCTTCTGAAGACGGATGGAGCTATAACTCTCCACCTCTCTTGGCAGTTTCAACTAAACCAGCCAGGTTTATTGCAACAATCTTTGGTTTGGATCAACCTTGGGGGCTCAGTGCTGCCTCCCAGTCCATCATCAAAAGTAGTCCTCCTTCCTGTCAGCATCTCCAGCGTGACCTTTGGCTTGGTGGAACTGTTCCAAATCTTCAGGGTCACCCACCTCACCTCCATGGTCCTCCTGCNTAGATAGATAGATAGATAGATAGATAGATAGATAGATAGATAGATAGATAGATAGATAGATAGATAGATAGATAGATAGATAGATATAGATACATAGATTGTACCAAGGCACATGCAAAAACAAACATAAAAAGTTGACCCGTATACTGTTTTTAATCCACTTTTATTTGTTCTTGATGGAGTGGCCTGGGAGCCAGTGAGCTGCTTCTTTTTACATGGCTCTCAACCCTTCGTGTTGCACAGTGACAAAAAAAACCCTTGCTCCTCAAAGGCATTTATTTAAAAAAAAAAAAAAACCTAGCAGCAACCATTATAAAACAAGTAACACATTTGTTGGGGGTTCCTTAGTTTCCACTGGGAATGCCAGGGGAAAGAATGTGTGGACATCAAATCTAAAAGTGCACAAACTTGCCCAGTGAAGGCGACTACAGTAATGGAGGAGTTTGGTTATCCTTTAGAACAAAAACTGGGAATAGCAGAGGACAACATCCAGCCTGAAGGCACAGAATAATGCTTAACAAGCCTGGCTACATTGGAGCTACCACGGAAGCGCCGGGATAGAGCAGAGGACAATCCGACACAGAAATGTTGTAGAATTTACTTCTTAGAATTCAAAACTCTGGCATAATCTCCGTTTTCAGAGCCTTTAAACAGCCTAGAAAGCCTTGAAGTCTTGAAAGACTAGTTCTATCGAGAATGCTTCTTAACATTTGACTTAAGACTTTTTATTTTCTTTCCTCTCATTTTGTTTTCTTTCTGGATTGTTTTAGATTGTGAAACTAGCTGGTAGAAACTGCCTTTTTTATTATTAATCATTCTGTCAGCCTCTTTATCTGGAGACGGAATAAAAAGGCTATAGAATGAATCAGTGCTTTTAAACCACACGCACACACACAAAACAAGTGTCGCTCCTACTATTCCAGACTTTTGCCCTTTGCTTCAGGCAGTGGAATGTCTTGGGTTGGTCCTGATTTTAATTTTATTTCTTTTCAGTTTTGAACTTGGATGTCAACACGGAATGGAAGTCAAAGCAAGAAACTGCCTACAGTGGTGAAATGTGGACAATCTTCAGCTGGAACCCCACTCTGTCGTTCATTAGAAAGTTAATTTTCTTCTTTCACGGTAACAGTTTTTCATTTTATATATTTATATTTATATTTGGAAGATCAAATAGCTGGTCTGCGATTTTATAAAAATGTCCTTAAAAGCTATTCCCAGCTGAAAATCGAAGTTACAGTTAGAGTTCTGGATTCACAAAACTGCTTAACTGTAAATTATTAAATAAACCATAGTATATTGGATCACTGCATAACACACTACAGTATTAGTCAGGATTGTCGATTCAGGAATAATATTAAAAGTGCTCAGATTAAAGCCAAAGAGGAATGTTAATAATGCTATTTTCACAGGTTTTTAATTGCTTATATTTTTCTTTTCTTTCTTTTTTTTCCTGTTAGTCATCTGGGGTCCCTGAGGGTAGAAAAACTGGGACATAAGTTAATAAATGCTTTTGTTTGTTACAGCTGAAATTGACCAGACTTGTAATTGCCACTTTTATGCAATAAGCCTACTTTGCTCAGTATTTATGTTCCATGTTGATCAATATATCACAGTATATTAAATTCCACAAGCACATGAATAAGGTATCCAAGGAAACTTAGCTAAACGGTCACTACTGCAACCAAATATACACTTACTTGGGAGTAAACTCATTGAACAATGAAGTTTACTTCTCAGTAGGCATGCATAGGATTGCATAGTAGACACCTCGGGGAATGGAATTAAACTATTTCAACGCAAAGTCGGTCATTTTTCTCCCGAGCACTGATCCAGGGGAAAACTGGATGTTATTCTCATCAGCAATAGCCAACATCTAAGCACGTGTTTTAAACATCCATCACCCTCTCTAAACCAGCCCTCAAAAACATTTCAATTTCTCGAATTCATCTCTCGGAACGCTATATATAAAACCACTTTGGATACTGAGATGAAGCTAGGAAATTCAGTATCTTTGTCTAGCCAGCAAGAAAATTAATTTAAAAAAAGAAAAGAAAGTGGAGGGTTTACTGAAGATTTGAAGGCAAGATAATCTTAAACTATCTACCTTGGACCTCACCCCATTCGTAAGAGGTCTGTAAAGGGGGCGTGCATAAGCGCACCAGAGTGCCTACCATCCCTGTCCTACTGTCCCCATTTATTCATACCCATTTCCTGTGTTCATGTCCATGTTTAGAGTTATACCTGTTATCTCATACATTTTTGACAAACTAAATAAATAAATAAATAATGGGAGAAACACAAGGAAATGTGGAAATTGCTACATTTAGCTGCAGCCCAAGGAATTTTCCCTGGCATGGATAGATCCCCAAATGGAGTTTCCTGATTGATTCAAATTCAGATGAAGGCTTTTTTCAAATGTTATGTGGCTGGGACAGTTTGAAGAGGGTTTCTAGAACAGAGCCTTTTTCCTGTGCACCCAGCAGCTTCTGGGTTCGAACCCAGCAATTGCCGCACCGAAAAAGCCCTGCGGCTACTTATCCTTCCCAACAGATTCTCCCAAGGTGGAAGCTGCTTATATCCAACCATCAACTGAAAAATTTGGCCCTGCATCGGGGCACTTTACCTCCGGATCAACTCCAGCATGCCTTTCCAGAGAAGTCATTCCCACAAGCAGCTGTCCCAAGGGCCCCTCATCCCCAGATGAGCACCAGATAACTGGAGGACCAGGTGAAGAGCCAGCTGTAAGTCAGAAAGCAGCCCTCTCGTCCCCTTTCAGTAGGACAGTCTAGAATTTTCTCATTGCTCAAAAGAAAAAAGGCAAATATGAAATCCCTTAGAAAGGTAAAGGTTCCCCTCACATGTGCTAGTCGTTCTTGACTCTAGGGGGCGGTGTTCATCTCTGTTTCAAAGCCGAAGAACCAGCGCTGTCTGAAGATGTCTCTGTGGTTATGTAGCTGGCATGACTCAAAGCCAAAGGCGCATAGAATGCTGTTCCCTTCCCACTAAAGGTGGTCCCTATTTTTTCTCCTTGCATTTTTTACTTGCTTTCGAATGGCTAGGTTGGCAGAAGCTGGGACAAGTNGCTAGTGAAAAATAAAAGCAATGTGGAGTTATTTTGAATGTCTTCATCACACCTTTCCTATTCAAGGACTGAGGTGTCATTTTTTATTCTCAGCAGCACCTGAATATCTTTATCAAAGTTATCTCTGCATGTCTTTATAGGCTTCACATGGTCCCAAATGTCGGCCAAGCCATCTTCTGTATGGAATAGGCATCTGTAATTGAAGCTCTTCTGGTATGGGCATACCTAAACCAAAATCTCTAATTCCACACCACCTTTCTTCTCTATTGCTCCAGCTGTATCTACCATACTTACTCAAAAGAAAACAAACCATAATTAAAAATGACTCTTACTACCCTCTTATTCACCAGTCAAACCACGATTGGTTCCCACAACACCTCAATCAACTCCCCCTCTTAGCAAAACCCAACGCCTGTTTGCATAATGTTCGGTACATGGCGCTTTCTTTAGCAAATTGAAGTGGGCAAACCCCAAATCCTCCCTTCATCTAATTACATTTTGGAACCCCTCGCGGAAAATGTGATGGTTATTACTAGCATGGATGATTTTGAAAAGAGGCTAAAGCAATTGAGGGAGAAGGCTGTTAACTGTTCCAGAGGGCCTTAAATATTGCCCCCCGCCCCACAACTGTAGCCCAGTGCAACTGCCAGCTGGACTTGCCAGTTCTTATTCATTTTGAATCCTGGGCTTGCTCCCATCTAAACAACTCTTGAGCCCTTCAGAAAAACAAACCTTTCAGACCTTGCTTTAAATCCCAAGTTACTTCTTTACATACAGGGAGGGAAAACGCATCCCGGCTTACCATCTGTTTCTGGATAATTGGTTCCTTCTGTAGGTATGTGTGGTTTTCTTTCTTCGTCATGCCAGCATCTGAACAAAGCAAAGTAAACAAGCAATTGGGGGGAACAAATTAAAACATTGACAAAAACTTAATAAAACTTTGCCTACTTCCAAATTTCCTGGCCAAAGACGGATGTCCCTACCCTCCAATGAATATATCTGGTATTCTGCAGACACTTTCCATTGTTGACTTTGGTGCAGTTGGCTCTCTAGTGACCTCAAACAGTCACTAAATGAACGGGTTGTAAGTCGAGGGCTACCCGTACTGCTTCACAGTACCTTACAGCNGGCAGAAGCTGGGACAAGTCACGGGAGCTCACTCCGTTACGTGGCGCTAGGGATTCGAACCACCGACCTTTCTGATCGACAAGCTCAGCGTCTTACTCACTGAGCTACTGTGTCCCTATTCAATCCCTTAGTTCAGCTCAACTCCCCAGCAACGTGATGGGATGCACCCAGGCAAGGTGTTGAGTTTTTTTGAGCTCCGTTACAAAAGTGGTTTGTCGTTGCCATCTTCTGGGAGGTTACCCTCCTGAGATCTCCTGGTGGTCTTCGCTCCAGACTGCCAAACCAAAAGAGAGGACTCGGGAGTCTAATCCTCCATGGAAGAAAAACCCTTTACTTGGAGGGCGGGGTGGGGTGGGGAAGTCACCTTCTTTCCCAAACAGGGACCAAGAAACACTCCGCCCAAAACTACGCCTCCCAGCATGCCGCAGCCTCCATTCGTGCTTTAAGCCCCGGCCGGGACCTTGCGGGAGTTGTAGTCCCGCTCTCCAGCTGGAAGGCAGCGGCTGAACCCCCGCCGCCCCAAAGCGGCAGAAGAAGGTCCGACGGGCCAGATCCGAGCGTCGGGGCTCAGCTGCCCCGCTTGGCCGAAGAGGGCGTAAGGTTCTCGGTCAGGTAAGCCACCAGGAGGCAGATGAGGACCAGCATGACGCAGATGGAGCCCCCGACGGCCGTCATGGCCACGACGATATCCCGCATGCCGGCCGGCTCCACAGTGAACTCCACGCACTCGGCTACCGCCGCCGGCTCGTCCCCGTCACCCAAGACGGGCTGGAGGCAGAGGCGGTAGCGGACACTGCCGTGCGGGTCGGCCAGCAGGTAGTCCCGGCAGGCGGCGCCCAGCCGCACGCTCTCGCACTGGAAACGCGTGTAGGCGCCTTCCCACGAGCAGGAGAGCGCGAAGCCCCGCAGGGGAGGCTGCTGATCGGCCGGCCAGGCCCACTGCAGCAAGACGCTGCCGTTGCGGAGCACGTTGGCCAGCAAGGCGCGGCCGGGCGAGCGGTGAGCCGTGCAGCGCTCCGGAGCGCAGTGGAAACCCAGCGCCGGGCTGCGGAAGCATAGCCGTCCCGGGCCGTCTTCGCTCAGCACCTTGTAAGGGCACCAGGGCTCTGCGACGCCTCCTTCTCTTCCTCCCGATCCTTCTCCCTCGGCTCTGCGCGCCTTCGGGTCGGTTCCCCAAACTCCCGGGCAAAGCAGGGCCACTAGGAGGGAGAAAGCCAACATGCTGGCCGGGCATCGGGCAAGGCTGGATCGCGGTTTGCTTAGCGCGGCGGGACGATCGCCGGCCGCCGCCTTCCTCGCCTTTGCCGGCCCATTTTTTTTTCAAAGTGGCCGCTTGGAGACGGCGCGGCGGGGCAACCTTCCTGGCACCTCCCGCCCCGGGGAGGGCGGGCCAGCTCCGCCCCTGTGGCCAGCCGCTTCCCGGCCTCCCGGCGCCGCCCTTGAGGCTCTCTCTCTCTCTCCCCCCCCCGCCTTGGACGCCAGGTTGGGAAGATTTACAGATGAGCAGAGTTGGAAGGGATCTTGTAGGTCATCTAGTCCAACCCCCACTCAAGCAGGAGACCCTTCACCATTTCTGACAGATGGCAGTCCAGTCTCTTCTTGAAAGCTTCCAGGGATGATGCTCTCACAACTCCTGAAGGCATTTCATTGAATATAGAATAACAGAGTTGGAAGGGACCTTGTAGGTCATCTAGGCCAACCTCCTCCTCCCCCTCCTCAAGCAAGAGACCCATCACCATTTCTGACAAATGGCAGACCAATCTCTTATTGAAAGTTTCCAGTGATAAAGCTCTCTCAATTTCTGAAGGCAACTTCTGTTCCTTGGGTTGATTGCTTAGATATTACAGGTTTACAGATGATCAGAGTTGGAAGGGACCTTGTAAGTCATCTAGTCCAACCCCCTGCCCAAGCAGGAGACCCTTCACCATTTCTGACAGATGACAGTCCAGTCTCTTCTTCAAAGCTTCCAGTGATGAAGCTCCCACAACTTCCGGAGCAACTTCTGTTCCTTGGGTTGATGGTTCTTCCTGTCAGAAGCGGCTGGGTTTCTTGGTGCTATTTATTTATTTGTTTATTTATTTGTTTATTTCATTTATTTAGTTGGTCAAACATAGACATGAGCACAGGAAAAAGAGTATAAAGAAATGATGACAAATAAGTATAAGCACGGACATGATCATGTGAAATGAGTACAAATCAATGGGGATGGTAGGCACGCTGGTGCGCTTATGCACACTCCCTTAGGGATTGCTTAAGAAACCCACAGAGGACAGTTTAAGGTTAAAGCTTAGTGGGGGTTTGAGGAACTACTTCTGCCCAGTGCAAGGGGTTGGATTGCTCGGGATTGTTAGACGCCACCCCGGACACTGAAAACCCCACGAGGAGATGCCCTCTCCAAACCTTGGTGCGTAGGAACTCAGCCACTTGCACCCTT